TCTTCCAGAGGTCCTGAGTTCAATTCCCAGCAACCACATGGTGGCTTACAACCATCTGTAATGAGATCTGGCGCCCTCTTCTGTATACATGATAAATAAATAAATCTTAAAAAAAAAAAAAAGCTGAGATCCTGACCCCTGGGGACAGCTGCTTCTCCAGCTCAGTACTTGTCCATCGGGACTGAACGTTAAATTTTAGAGGTGTTTTTTTTTTTTTTTTTTTTTTTTTTTTTGGTTTTTCGAGACAGGGTTTCTCTTGTGTAGCTTTGTGCCTTTCCTGGAACTCACTTGGTAGCCCAGGCTGGCCTTGAACTCAAAGAGATCCACCTTCCTCTGCCTCCTGAGTGCTAGAATTAAAGGCGTGCGCCACCACTGCCCGGCTTTTTTTTTTTTTTTTTTTTTTTTTTTGGATACATCAAACTTTCAAGTGCTGGGATTATAGCCCTGAGACACCAGGCCTGAATTGCGCAATACTGGGGATCAAACCCAGGCCTTCAGACATACAAGACAAAGCATTTCCCAACGGAATTATACCCCCCAGCCCCTAGATTTTTAAAACTCTTGAGTTCTTCTAATGCCTAAGCATTGTCAAAATCTTCAACAAAAAGAAAATTTGAGGCTGGGAATGGCATCCACTGGGGAGTGTGTGCTTAGCGTGGGTGACACTACATTCTGGGTTCAGTTCCCAGCACTAATAAAAAACAAAACAATTCCAAAACAAACAGAAATGCCTCAACTACCTGAATACAAAGCCTGGTGACCAAAGGCATTTTAGCTAGCAGATAGTACAGGGCAGAGGGCTGGCTGAGCAGGGTGCAGGGGAGAGGCTGGGGGAGTCCCGAGTGGCACCAGGACGGCAGCTTCTCCATGAACAGTATCAGAGGTGGGGCAAGTCCGCCTCCAGGCTCTGCAGAGGGCCGTGTTTGGGCTGGCAGCAGGCGGTAGCTTGGACTGGCACGGAGATGCCTTCGGACCTGGGGGCTTGACTGAAGACTGGGCGGGAGGGCTCTGTCCTCACCACTTGGTAAAGGCAGGGAGCCCAGGGCCATAAAAAGCTCTGGGATTCTGACTGGAGGCCTGGGACCTAGGTGAAGTGGGGACCTGAAGAGAGTTGACCTCAGCCAGAGGCGGTGGTCAGCAGCCTCTCATTACATTTGGGATTGATGACAAGCCTCACAGTCTACTTCCTGACCAGACCAGTCCTGTGACTTCACAGGCCAGTGAAGGTGACAGAGATGTTTTCTTCAGCTGTGAGGAGGTCCAGGTCCTCAATCCTCTTACAGTGGCCAGAAGAGGGTGAAATCATGTAGCCCAGGCTGGCCTCCACTATGTAGCCAAGGATAACTTTGAATCTTGATCCTCTTGCCTCTATATCAGGGATGCTGGGCTTATGGGCATATGCCACCATGCCTAGTTTATTTGGTGCTAGAGATTGAACCCAAGGCTTTGTGCATGTTAGGAAAGCACTTTACCAACTGAGTTAGATCCCCAGCCCTTGGTCTTTCAAGCCTAGGCTAGCCCCAGAGATCCTCCTGTTTCAGTGCTGAGTTCACAGGCATGTCTGCAGGTATCACTTGGAATCAACACAACACCCAACTGAGGGCTGACCTGTGACCCTCCCCGCCCCGCCCCCTTTGCAGCTATTTCCAGACCTGGTGTGAGCGCCTGAGGCACACAGGAGTGTCCCAGGACCAGCCTCAAGTCTTCCAGGACGACCTGAGAAAAGACCTGGGGGCCACACTTGCTGGCTCACAGGAGGCCTGCAGAGCAGCGCCCCCAGCACAGGCTCCCCGCTGTGTGGCCCAGGCCTCTGTCCTGGGCTGGAGAAGCTTTCTGCAGCAGAGGGGCGCTAACAGGCAGCTGAGGAAGGCCCAGACCCAGCAGGCTTTTGTGGTATGGTGAGTCCCCCTGGGGCAGTGTTGGGTGGCCCAGCAACGGTCAGGAAGGACAACGTCCTGACCCCAATCCAGGTGGCCCTGTGCTGGGTCCTGTGGATGCATGAGTCCTACCTAGGCCAGGGCCACCAAGCTCATGCTGTCCGGCACCTGACAACCAGGTGAGTGCCCAAGGCCCGAGGGCAACCTCATACCATGCTTCCAGCTCAGGTTTTGAACTTGGTTTTGGTAAGGGTGGAGCATATTGGGCGGCTGAGTGGTGCCTGCTGAGTGTCTGGGTGGCAGGAGGGTAGAGACATCTTGGTCTTTGGAGTGGGTCCCGGTTCTGCCACTTTCTAGTGTGACCCGCCCTTGGAAAAGCTTCTGACGCTAACTGCCTTGCCTTGCAGCCCTGCCAAGTGTGCGCGTGTGCTCAACACAATAAGTGGGCAGCGCATTGGCATCTTCCCAGAGGAGGGGAACAGAAATAGCTGTTAGTTAGGACTGCCCTCTCTGTCCCTTTAAACAGGATGCTTGCCCCTGATGTGTGTGATATTCTATCCACTTCTGATGCACATTTGGTGGATTATTCAGAATAGGGATGGGTGGGGGCCCAGGCCTGGGCATTTGTCTTTTGCAGAGCCCTAGAATCCTGGCTCTAATGGGCACCTCCTTCTTCTCCAGGGTCCTAGAGGTCTGGATTCGGTTAGCAGCCCAGGCTCATGTCCAACGAGCTGATATCACCCAGTGCTGGCAGAGGCTTCAGTATCTCCTTAGGACCCACTGGGTTCAGGGGCAGTCGACTCTGTTGAAACAGGGGCTGGAGCCACAGACCCAGGCACAGGGCATGGACTTCAGGCACTGGCTAAGGCTGGCCAGCAGAGGACGCCTCCTGCACCTGATGGACACCCCAAACTTTTTGATACAGGTGAGGTGAGCCCAGGCGTGCGTGTGTGCGTGTGTTGGGGAGGAGTCACTTCCCCGGTCTTAAAATCAGCTGGTTTCTGCCAACGATGGGACTTAGACACCACCCAGCCCAGCTCTGGATGGCCAGCGATATGCTGGAGGCAGGAGGACCCATCGACCCATCAGCAAACCTCTTGAGTGACAGCCTGGTGCCAGTCTGGTTACAAAGGCTCTTTGTCTATTAATGGCACAGACACAGACTTTTTAAACAGTGTTTATGGCTGGGCATAGTGGTATATGACTCCAATCCCAGCACTAGGAAAGCAGAAGCAGACAAATCTCTGTGAGTTGGAAGTCAGCCAGGGCTGCATAGTAAAACACTATTTCAACAAACAAACAAACAAATTAATAATAATAATAATAATGATAATAATAATAATAATAATAATAATAATAATAATAATAATAATGCATTTGTGGGTCAGCAGGGTGGCTGGGCAGGGAAAGGTGCTCACCATGCCAGCCCAGTGACTGATTTGATCCTCAGAACTGATGTACCGGTGGAAGGAGATAATAAACTCCTTAATTAATAAACTCCTTAATAATAAACAAAGTTGTCCTCTGGCCCCCCACTTTGTATACCAAGGTATTGCATGCCCCCTCCCTACACTTACCACACACACACAAGTCTTTAAAAAGGTAGATATATGGAGACAGCAGCAATTTTAGTTTTATTGGAAGAAAAATGAAATGTGCCCATTACAGAAAATAAAGTAGAAAGTAGGTTTTTATTTTTGTATAAAAATGGGACCCAGAAGTCCTTAGCTCTGACATAACAAACAATGAGGGGCTTATGGCCTGGCAGGAGAGAAGAGGGCCTCACAAATGCCTGCTGGGGGCAAGAAACGGCCCTGCCCAGCAGTCTGGAGATGTAGCAGAGGGACCAGCCTGTGATCCCGACAGGCCGGGCAGTGTTCCTAAGGACTGGGCATCGCCACGAGTCCTGCTTCAGATTGCCAGAAAGAGCCTAAGAAGATCACCCAAGTGGCTTTTGCCTTTTAAATGGAATTGCCATAGTGTTGCTGGGTTTCAGCACTCCCAGGTATGGGCCTAGGGCAATGGCAGGTTATAGGGTCTCATGCTTTTACTTGTAGATTTTCAGGGCTTTGTAGACCCAGCTTGCATAGCCCAGGTTGCTTCAACTCAGCCTCTTGAGTAGTGAAATTTCACGGGGACACTGCCACCCTTTAAAAGTACACATACTTCATCCTCGCAGTAATAGCCAGGTTCCCATACACTGTGCTCTCCTACACTGGGGCTTCTAGAAATAAAGCAGACACCAAGAATGGTACCCAAGGCCCTGCTCTTTACTACAGGCACACCCACAAGGTAGCCCTCACCTGGCAACATGTGCAGGTGGTGAGCCATCCTGTGGTGGCAGGGAGTCACCCATATATGTTGTATTAGTTGGGAGCTCAGACCTCAGGCCACATCTGAGAGCCAAGGCTTCAGCAATGTCCTAAAGCTTAAGTCAGAAGTATAACTTAGCTCTCAGGGATGGCCTGAGCTCCACCACAGGGCAGCTATCATTGGGCCAGTCTCTGCTTAGATGTCTTCAGCCAGATGGAGAATGGTCAGAGGCAGCACAAGCCATGTACTAGTTAGTGTCTTGCCTCCTCTGGGGGTCTTGGGAGAAACACCCCCTTTGCACACAGGGGGCAGGAATCCCTCCTGGTCAGCAGGCTCAAGCCACTGCCTTTGATCCTTGCTCCCCTGCTGTTCCCTCAGACCCACAGCTGCTGGACACCTGTCCTACGGAATGTGTTGCCCAGCCTGGCATGGCAGCATGGAAGAGGCACACAGAGGACCCCATCCTGTGCTCTGAGTAAGGAGCTGAGTCCCTGTCTCAGCCCTCAGGCCAAGCCCTGTGGAACACTGCCCCTGTTCACAGCTGTCTGGACCATTCCCTTCTGCTGCCATTAGCTCCTTGGGCCAGCCCACCACCTGGAGACCCGAGGGTGGCCACTGTTCTCCCAAACCAAGGCATTTTCCTCTCTTGACACACTTCTCCTCTCCAGGTGACAGAGCGAGATCCCTCTGCCCAACCTTCCAGTTCTGGCTGCCACTGCCTGCATGGGCACAGCTCCCTACAGGACTAGGCGAGCTCTGCAGCTCTGAGACCAGGGCCCTCCAGGGCCAAGGCGAGGCTCCCCAAAGGTGGCTAGGGCAGGATCAGCTTTGTATGTGCATGGGGGAGGGGTGGTCCTCTCAGGCCAGTGACTGGGTGACCCCAGCAAGATGGCTCTGGGGCTCTTGCTCTTCACCTTGTAGAGGTTGTGATGTTCTTGGCCTGCAGGAATAGGTACCTACAGTGTTGGCAGTTCCAGGCTTCCCAGCAGGCCAGGTGCCTGGCAAGGGCATGGCAGCGCTGGGTAGATGTTCACTGGCTGGAGCAGCTGTCTCGGACCCTGGTAGGTAGGCTTAGTTCCTCTCCACCCTTCAGAGGCCCTGGGAGCAACTTCTCTCTCATTCATCTCACCCCTTGGCAAACTCTAGACACTAACTGCGTCTCACTGTGGTCTCTGGACTAAAGTCCAAAGCCTTAGGGATGGGGCTCAGGGGTCCTTGTCTGCTAACATTTCCAGACGATGGCCCCTCGTCACATCCCTTTCACCCTGGGATGGCAGAAGTAGAAGGACCAGGGCTGCCAGGATGGCAGAGGGTCTTTCTGTCAACTCTCTCTGTAGCTCAGACAATGGCACCTGGACCAGGCCTGGAGGACATGGCGGAAAAAGGTCCTTCAGCTGCAGGTGGCCCGACGGCTGCACCAGCAGGAAGACATCTGGGTCCTTTCCCAGGTGGCTCTACCTCCCTTCACTAGCCAGCCTTCCAAACCGGTGTCACCTTTGGGGAGAGCCATGGGGGGAGGGGGTGTCCCTGCTCAGCCCCGAGGGCTCCTCATTCAGTGAGTTGGTCAGTGGTTACAGAGCACACAGCCTCGACATTAGAGCCCTTGACTGGTGGCCTTAAGCCCAGCCCAGTGTCACAGTCACTCAGTCTGAGAACCAGGCTGGTCCCAGTAGCGCCTGGGTCACACACAGGCTTCTCACTTGCAGGTCACTGGGCACAGCTTCCCAGGGTACAAGTCCAGTCTATTCAGAGCCTGTATATTTGGGCTGAGATAGGGTGGGCTGGCGACCAGGGCAGAGAAAGGGCCTCTGGTTAAGACAGAGCATAGCTCAGTTGTCAGTTGGACAGGCCCAGGACAGTCCCTGGAGGGAGCCTGAGACAAATGGCATTTCTTGTCCCTCCCTGCCTCCAGGCCTTTGAAAAGTGGTACCAGCGCCTGGTAGCCAGGAGCCCACAAGAGGAACCAACAGCACGTGTGCCCTGGAAACAGTTGACAGCAGCCCAGATGTAGCATGTGTGGGGCAGAGCAGGGTCCAGCAGCAGCTGTGAAATAAACAGACCCAAGCCTAGACCTCTGCGGGAAGGAACAGGCCCACAGCTGGAGGGGTCAGCTCCCAGAGCTCTGGGGAAGGAACAGGCCCACAGCTGGAGGGGTCAGCTCCCAGAGCTCCGGGGAAGGAACAGGCCCACAGCTGGAGGGGTCAGCTCCCAGAGCTCTGGGGAAGGGGGGGCGGTGGTGGCAATAAAAGGACCTCCCCATCCTGGCTGCCTCTGCTCAGTCCCTCCAAGGCTTCTCTCCACTGCAGTCACCTGGGCCTGGGAGACAAGGGGAGAGGAAATCCCCTGCTCTACCTAAGTTGCTCTATGGACAGCTTCCTCCCGTTCCCTGACTCAAACAAGACCAGCAGGCTGGGAGCCAGGCCTCAGGAGCAGCCATCTGTACCTGCCAGTCACTACCCCAGGTAGTAAGGCCCGAGGGCTGACTGGGGAGGAGTGCCAGGACAGCTTCTTGGCTAGGCTCAACAGAGAAGATGGCAGCTGGCAGGAGTGCCCGCTCAGGAGCCCAGGAGTGGGCCAGACTCGGCCATGGGCATAGCTGGGCCCTGCTCAGGTCAATCTCATCTCATGACCTTGAGCAGAGAGCATGAGCCTCCGAAATGGGGCATCTCGGGTCCAGCCAGAGCCTGGGTGCTTCCTGACAGTCTAGCTGTCATTATCATGTGTGGAGAGATGAGAGGGGGGCTCCAGGAGAGGACGATGCCAGGGTGCAGGCTCATGGGGCCTGAGCTTCTCTCTTCGCGGTGTGCCTGTTGAGCAGCTCAAATGTGTCCTCTACCACCTGCCACAGGCAGCTGTCCAGCGGGAACTCGTTGTCCACCAGGTTGACCAGGAAGTAGTTGTCATGGATGTACTGGATGATCATGCGGGATGGGGACTCCTCCTCATACAGTTTGCCCCACTGCTCGATCCACAGGGCAAAGGCCTCATCCTACACATGGACACAGACACACACGTGTAGGGTCAACAGGGCTCCTACACCCGGGTCTGGGCTCATGCTGTCTCCCCGCAGGCCGCCCAGAGAAGAGCAAGGCAGGGCACACACCTTCCCACTCACCTACCTTCCAGAACATGAAGCTGATGGGATCCACCACAGTAGGCTGGATGATCTCTCGACCAGGGAAGATGCCCCAGGTGACAGCATTGGGCTGCAGCTCGGGGGCATTCGTGATGTTCTTGCCCTGGGAACAGAGGCAGGGCAACTGCAGCCCCACTGCTGGCAGGCCTCGGCCAGCTAGTGCTGCCCTGTGTCTGCCACCATCAACAGCATCCCCCTCTACGTGAACCGGAGCCCTAGAGACGTCCTGGGCAGCTCCCCTCACCCTGCTCCCC